CAGCTGAATATACGAACGACATTATTTAATGATGCATCGTCCAAGTACAGAATTCGAAGTACAGTACTAGTGGTCAGTAAGTAGCCAGCCAGCTAGGTCAATGCCGTCAATGTCACCCAGCGGAAGATATGATGACGCTGTATGCGTGTGTTGACAGATAGAGTATAGTTAAGAGAGGGGCGGAGAAGGCCTGGCCTGAACGGGTCAAGGCGATCCTTGCGACGGCGGTGGCGGCAACGAAGACGACAACCCCACGACGACGACGCAATATCGCCGACGAACGCCTCCGATTGCACTGACGCCGCCGCGCACCCTCCCTCTCACCCACCACGAATTAAGACGGATTACGACTGTGCACTGTGTGATGCGTGAGATTCGCTCTCGGACTCTTTCCGGCGTCTCTTAATTTCACCCAAAGCACCTTCATTGCGTGCAAACACCACACAGCATCGCGACTGGGAGGGGTTTCCTTTCAGTCAGCACGTGTAATGAATATCTCTAAAGGATAAAGGATCAAGTCTCCTACATTGACCGACCCTTTTTCGTGAGGCGGTACGCATTCTACAATCGGTATCCGGGGAAAAAATGGGTCGTAATTGCGGACCTAGGGGTACGCGTGTCAGTACCTTGAAAAAGTTAGTAGCTTCTGCCGGCGGAAAGATTTACTGCTTGCAGAAACTTGCTGATTCTCGACTGATCAAACTGAACCCTGATAAACAGTAATACTAAGAAAGAGCTGAAATCTGAGACCCGCACGATGCCGAGCCCTCAATTACGACCCCTCTCAATGTGAAATAATGTGTACTTCCATTCAGAACCCTCCTGGCTTACTGAATGCAGTGTGTCTATACAATGCTTTGCAGGGGCCCGCCAATGTAAAAGTCAGGTTCCTATCTTCCGGGGAAACCTGGACCAATTTACCGTCTGTGCACGGTACAAAGCTTGGTTGGTCTGGTCGGAAACCGATCCAGGTCTTGACACCGGGCCGAGCACATGGTAGCGTACCACCTACCACTAGATCACTTCCGCCCGTGCACATCGCTAGGTTCCTTCATTATTCATTCTTCCATTACATGAGGTATACTCCTTATCCCTGAGATGGAGTAGGCGTGGCTTTTGAACATGGCCGAGTCACTCGTGGAATATTTGAGTTTGAGACAACTGTCATCTTGTTCTGTGTTCGATGGAGACACGACCACATTGTGTCAAAATGGAAACATCTCTCCAGAAGCACAACCACCGCCACGCTTGGTTGAAGAACGCAGCCACGCCTACCCCATCTCAGGGATTTGGAGTGCATCTCATGTAATAACTATGAAAAACAACAGCAACCCGAATAAAATCCAAGACAAAAGCCATATAGCGAAGTGGGTGTTATTTTGATTAGGTGGGTTACAAGGTGTTTGTCAATTGAAATTTTCCTGGCGCTGTTCGTCTTGGAGGGGCATTTAGCTGGTTCCCATCGATCATTGCCGATCAACCTGTGGAGACCTGTGAGTTTCTGTACAGCTGTACAATGGATGAGCTTCACTTACATTTCACAAGATTCCATAGGTCTCACCAAGGTGAGGCGTTCAATTCAACAAGATTTGGTAGAGAAAAAAAAAACTAGCGGAAGTGCAAAATGCCCCTATAAGCCAAACAGCGCCATTTCTCTCCTTGCGAGAGCTCACAGATTTTTGGGACTTTTCTAACCCCGAACTCTGGTCAGAACCTCCCTCCATTTTCCTCCTTTCTCCCCTCCCACTTCTTTTTCCCCCTTCCGGTGTTCATTCAAACGAGGCGACGATCAGCCGCAAAGAGAAAATTTTTGGTTTGAAAAAAAGCCTTGTAAACCATTTAGACGTGTTGCCTTA